AACAGTGCACTTTATTGTTTAGCAGTGAAACATTTGTTTTCAGAAAGATTAAAAGTCACTTCTCTCTCTTTCCACTGCTTTCTAACTAAACAAGCATTAAGAGCCTGATCCAATGCCCATTAAAATCAATAGAACTCTTTCCACTGAGTTCCATGAGCATTACTTTCGGTCCCGTATCTCCGTGACACTGTTTACTTTTTAACATACATCCCCTGAAGAATGAACAGCTACAGAAAAACAGCAGCAGCAAATAACAGAGTATTATTATTATTAATCATTTGTAATACTGTAGCACTAGGGCCCTAGACACAGACATAAGGGATGTTGTAGAAACACAGAACAAAAAGATGGTCCCTGCTCCAGGAGGGTTAAAATCTAGATCAGGGCTGGGGAATCTACGGCCCGCGGTCCGGATCCAGGCCACTGCTTAATTTCATCCAGCCCCCCGGCAAGTCTTGGTATCCCCCCGCGGGGCTGGAGCTGCAAGTGCTGGCTCGCCCCACCATAGGCGGGAAGCCCCAAGCCTCGGCGTCCCCCCGGCAGCTGAGTTGAATGTTTTATATTTCTCTCTCTAAAAAAACCCCCTAAATTAAGTTGCTTTTTACTTGTGTGTGGCCCGTGACTGATTATTTCTGTGGGTTAATGGCCCGTGATAGAAGAAAGGTTCCCCACCCCGATCTAGATGAATAAATGAAAGACATACATAGATAAGATGTTTGTAAATAAGATACTGAACATTTTTTAACAAGTAAATTTGGACTGGACTGACATTCAAGCAGTATCATATAGAAGACTGGGATTTATTACCTGAAATAGGTCCTTAAGTTCCATGCTTAGGGGGACTTAGGGAGAGATTTTCAAAGGTACTGAGGCACTCAAAGATGCCTAATAAGATTTTCAAACCACCTGGGAAGGCTAGGTGCCTAATTTCCATTGGGAAATCAATCTAGCTTTCAAATCACAGCAAAAGCCGCATGCTCAGCCAAGGTGGAATAGGTTTGTTGCATCACCTGTCACAAGGCTGGGGCACAGGGAAAACCTGGTCTCCAAGAGCTTTCAAAAATACACTGGATGAGGCTAATGTTGAACGAAGTTGATAGTGTGTGTTTACAGTTTTAAAAAATAGGTAACTACTGTTTCATTTTATAGCCAGAGGTTATCACAATACATAATCCAAACAATACTGCTTTATTGACAAATACACATACAACCTGAGAGGATCTTTGCATACTATATAAAATAAACTACAGTCATAAATAAAAAGGGTCAACTAATCAGTCATCTTCTTAGTAAGGTATGGGGGGCATTAAACCCCAGCACCACTCAGACACATAAAACAAGACGGTGTAAAACGTTAAAAAGGAGGAATAGGTCCTTCACATACTCGGCTGTTCAACATCATTAGAATTTTTCCAAAATAGTCTATGCTCATCACCACTTATTCCTTCTGAAACAGAATGGAGAGAAATGGCAAGGGCCATCATCTAGATTCTAGAAGCTATGGAGAGAGATGTTGTATGCTGAAGCTGAAAAGTGGTTAAAAGAAAGTTAAAAGAAATAATCTGAAAACAGAGAATGATTACAAATAGAAAAAACTGAGGCTAAATAGAAACAAAAATAGAAAAAGCAAGAACAAATAATATCAGAAAAAAGTATTAAATGTTTCATAAAAGTAAAATAAACAAATGGCAACAGTTAAAATCAAAATGAAAAAAACTGAAATAGGAAGGAGTAAAAATACCTTACAAGGGAAATAAGATAGGAATAACACTTCTAAAAAAATCAAGACACTTACGTATGGAGTGAAATGAAAAGTGGGGACTCGTTAGGAGTCAAATTATGTTTTTAAAAGTCTAATACTGTGCCCTTTCCCCATCCCATTTGCCCGTATCCTGCAAAGTGATCTAAATGAGAACATTCTTCAGCAAGATCAAGGCTCTTGTAAATTGTCAATTAAAGCATGATCTCTCCAAGGCAGAGCCCATGCCCACGATTTGCAAGAGCAAATAATAATTCTAAATAAGTCAGTTTTGGGGTGTTCAACTTCAGTCCCCTTACTTAAAGGGGCCTAATTTTAAGAGGCTGGGTGCTCATTTCTGGTGTCACAAGCTGAACACCAAAAGTCACTAGAAACTTTTGACATCTTGGCCCTTATTTTTTTCCATTTGCCTGAATGGCACCTAGTATACTTTTGAGTGCTCAGTGAATGAATACATAAATAATAATGCTAGATAAATAGCTGAGTAAAAAATTATTATAGCAAACAGGACTAGAACTTCATATTCAGTAGTTTATATCTTACTATGAAAATAAACTTAATTCACATAATAGTAATATGACAGCAATATAAATAAATAAATATTTGAAAACTAATCTAGGTATTTGCATAGGCCCCATTCGGGTAATATCCAAAACTCACAAAAGCCTTCTTATTAACCATGTTCAAAATCAGTAACAGCCCTCTTCTACTTTGGTTTATTTGACCTTGCCCACATTGAGGGGAAAAAATCAGTTCCCATAATTCATCACTGGTGCACTCCTCTGTGGGTAGATTAGATTACATGGTGATAAACATTCATAAACCCTATCTACAGTAAGCGTCCACTTTTGCTATCACTAGCACCGATTATTTGTATTACTGTAGCACCTAGGAACCCTAAAAAAGCATCAAGACCGCTTTGTCCTGGATGCAGTACAGCCAGAAAACAAAGAACACAGTCACTGTCCCAGAGAGGTTACAACCTAAGTGCCAGTCAGGATACGACAGGTGGACTAACCAGACAAACAGGGTGCAGGACTGTAGAAACAAAATGATCAGAGTTTACGAAATAAATGGAAACCTCAGCTTGCCACTTGCCTAACCAATGCCAGCTGGCAGTGTATATAAGCATTACAGCAGCACCAGTGAAGAATTAAGGGTCCAAATATTGCATATGTAGATGCAGTCTTGGAGTCTGACTTGCATCTTAGAGCAGCAGTCACTCAAAAGTCTCTAGAGAGACAAGCATGATCTAGTGGTCTGAACACAGGAAAAAAGAGCCAAGAACTCCTGAGTTTCAATCCCAGCTCTATCACTGACTCCCTGCATAGATTTAGCTAAACTATTCTTTGTGCCTCAATTTCCTCCTCTATAAAATGAGAGTGACACTTATGGCTTAACATAGGTTTTATGAAGACTGATTATTTGAGGTTTGTAAAGGACTTTTTACATGAAGTGCTGTGTTATTAAAATTAAAATCTACTTTCAAATTTTGCAACGTGTGACTGGTGTAACACTCTATTTGCAAATTCTAATCCAAATTATATTAATGCCTAAAGGACACAACCAGGTCTCCTAGATGGTGGCCACATTTTATTTTCTGATAGAAAATTACAGTGCCAAAAAAAATGGACAGAAAAAAAAAAGATACCATTTACCAAGGCATTAACCATGGAAGTTAGTTTTCATCAGCTCTTAATTTCTTCAAACTACTGGTTTTCACAATAGCCTAAGAAGCAAACCAATAATTATAATAATCTTCATTATTCCATTCTCTGAGATTCCCAGTATAGTCCATCTACCTAACCTTCCCAGTGTGTGTTATCTTCTTATAGATTGTAAGCTCTCCAAGCACAGATGTTCTATATTTTGTCTCTTGTGGAGGCCTGAACCTGTTGTTGGTGCTTAATACCATTAATGTTAATCATTGCTACCATTTTCATTTCTTTAGACTACCACACATACACACACATTATAGGGTTTACCAGCCACACTTTACTACTGAAATTATGAAACCAGCTCCTAGGAACAGAAAATTAGTTCCCATAGAAACATGTAGAAGTGCTCTAGCATCAATAATTTTACTCCTCCATCTTCCAAATCAGAGAGAACATGTGTGGGGGAGATTTGTAAACAATCCTCACTCATTTCTGACAGCTTTTAAAATTTAAGGGTAAAACCAACAGAAGTTGAACCCAGCACCCATCAGCTGTGTTCAAGAGGACATAGGGATAAAATGCTGCATTACCCCAAGAGCTTTGATGGTTACAAAAAAATCACTTTCATAAAAGAGAAAAGTGCATATAAAACTTTACTGTTTTAAAAAAGGAAAAACTTGTAATGCAAAAGAAATGTCTGCTCAGCCTAATAAAAGCCACAAACCTGAAACATTTCCCCATCCGCTGCCCATTCTGTTGCCAAAGTTCTATTTCAGTTATTGTGGTTTTAAACTTTGGTGCTGCACCCGGCTGCACACTGTGATGTGAGCTAAATAAAATTAACAAAAAGAGAGATTTTCTCCTTTGCTATACTGCGCAAGAGGTGCTTACACTGGAGAAGATCGAATCTTAGTCCCATTCCCCAGAGAAAATTTAAAAGAAGGGGGGGTGGGAATCTCGCTCTCTCTCTCTCCCTAGTCCTGTTAGGGATCCAAGCTAACAAATGAACTAGACTACAGAGACCAGATCAGAGATGGAACTGATGGGCTAGATCATATTGGGGCTCCCCATCCTCAAGCAACCTCCTGCCCCTTAAATCCTTCACAAGCCCCCTCCAGCCCTTCCTCACCAAACACCTCAAATCCCAGTCATGTGTTCCCCAGGCCATTCCCCACTTCCCAAAGGTCACTGCTCACAACAGCCCCCAAACCACTCCCTCGAGTCCCTCTCCAGCGCCCCCCCCCACAACCAAGAGCACCCCTACCTGCTCCCTCCCCATCCCCCTCAACTAAGAACCCCCCTACTGCTACCTCCCTTGCCCCCCCCCACCCCCGAAGCAAGGTCACTCCCTACCTGCTCCCTCCCCAGATCCCCCCAACCTGCTCCCTCCCCGGGCCCCCAACACAGTCATGGCCCCGCTCCCCGGATCGTGCCTCCCCAGACCCCCACAGGAACACTCCTCTAGTCCAGGGACCCCCACCCTCCTCACCAGACCCCGCCACCCACTCAGCCTGCCCCGGCGCGGGGCTGCCCAGCCTCGTCCCCCGCCGCGCTCCTCCCGCGGGGGCCAGGGCTCCGCTCACCCAGCCGGCGGGCAGCCGCCTCTGTTCCCTCGGGCCCCCAGGGCTCCAACCCACAGGCCGAGGCCGGGCAGCAGCAGCGCGGAAGCCGCCAGGCCACCTCTGGGCCTGCGGACGGTACCTGTTGCTCTGCTCGGGGCTGGCCCCTTCCCTCCGCCTCCTCCTGCTGCGGCGCAACGGCGGCGGCGTCAGCCCGACAACATGGCGGCGGACGGGGCGAGCTGCGGCAGGAGGGGGAGGGAACAGGAGCTGCCCGCAGACACGGGCCAATGTGGGTGCGGGGCCGGGTCCGAGACGCGAGCCCACAGGGCCCCGGGGTGCCGCACCGAGGCCCCGGATATAAGCCAGCGGGGCCCCTGGGACCAGTGTTTGCATCCCGGGTGCCGGGCCAGCTCTGAAACACAGGCCAACAGCACCTCTGAGTGTGGGACCAAAGCATATGGCCTAACTGCACCCTCATGCAGGTCCCAGGCTCAAGACATGGGCTATCAGCACTCATGGGTGTAGGACTAAGGTTAACAGGGTCCCTGAGTGCCAAGCCAAGATACATGACCCAGGAACTTCTCAGTGCCAATTGGCAGAGGGCTTTTGGGGTTTTACAGGGATCCCCTGAGTAGGAAATATTCATAATAATTCAGCAAGGGGTGGCATGGGAGGTCCCTACCGAGAATCAGTAGCTCACTGGTTATCATAATCATAATATGTACGGATAATATTTAAGGAGTTATGTATCTATACTGAAAATGATGTTTTTAAGGGATTTAAGGCATGTCATGAGAAGGGGACATACCTTGGGCGTGTTCTTTTCAGAGAGGAGGTAGCAGAGGCTTGTCTCTGTCTGGTCATGTGTGTATTATGCACTCTGTGTTTTGCAATGGATGTCTATTTGCATAGTAAGCCAGATACCAGGTATAAAATTGCAAAATCTACAAGAGAGAAAATCTACAGGAAAAAACAATCTGCGTGGGTGTGTCCCGTTCGTGACTAAAATCAAAGGATTACTATGGTATATCAGGTAATGCAGGGAAACACATAGACTCTTCCATCAAAGAGGTAAGCCAATAGCGTGACTTGTCTCGTGAATGAAAAATCACAGCCAAGGATGGCTGTAAAATGCCAGAAGGATTTTGGATGAGTATTGCTCTATAAGGCTACATCTACACTACACTGAAGCTTTGAGATCGATCCACCGACAGTCGATTTAGTGGGTCTAATGAAGATCCGCCAAATCAACAGCAGATCACTCTCCAGTCGACCCCTGTACTAGTCTACCCCCAATGAGAAGAGTAAGTTAAGTCGACAGGAGAGTTTCTTCCTTTGAGCCCCCGCAGTGTAGACCCTGCGATAACTCGACCTAAGGTACGTCGACTCCAGTTACGTTATTCACGTAGCTGAAGTTGCATAGCGAAGGTCAACTTACCGCAGTAGTGTAGACATAGCCTAAGACGTAAAAGTAGCTAGTTAAATAAGTCTAGGTTCTAGAATGTGTGTTATGATTTTATTTTATATGTAACCATCTGCTTCTAATAATTCTTGCTCTTACTAAACTCTCAATCCTTTGTTAAATAAATTTGTTTCTTTGTACTATTATCTTGTATAAGCACTGTGTGTTAAATGGAGCCGTTACCTAAGGTGTAACTAGTAAGCTGGGGTGTACTGTTCCTTTGGGAGCAGTGACTACTGTGAGTGTCCAGTGGAGTAGGGACTGGACACTTCATGGAGATGCTCAGAGGGTGGAGAGAGAGAGTGAGTGTGTGTGTGTGTCTGTCTATTGCTAACCTGTAAAGAGACAGTGGGAGCTGCATAGGCCTAGAGGAGTTGTGTCGCCCGTGGCCGGTGGAGTTGGGGAGCTGACCCCAGCAAGCACAAACACACTAAAGGTAGGTGGTAATGAGATGCATCACAGCCCTGGGTACCCCCCAGAAAGCATCACATGGTATACAGGCTAACAGTGCCCCAGGTTTGGTGCCAAGCCATAGTGGCTAACAGAGACCTGAGGTGCGGAGCTAAGGCACAGAGGCTAATAATGCTCCTGGATGTAGGACCAATGCCCGAGGCTTGGGCTAACAATGATCTAGGATGCAGGACCAAGGCATTCAGGCTAACAGTGACCTGGGACATGAGGCTGAGGTTCAAGACTCTGGCCAAAAGGGCCCTGGTGTGTGGAGCCAAGGCCCAAGACGCTGACCCAGAGGCCTCTGGAGCAAGGCCTGAGACACTGGTTTCAAAGATTTTTAAAGCCAGATTACCTAGTCTGATCTTGATAACACTGGCCATAAAATCTTGTCGAGCAATTCTTGCATCAAACCCATAACTTCTGTTTGAGCTATAACACATCTTTCAGAAAGATATCCAGTCGTAATTAAAACGTTCAAATGATAGAATCCACCATATCTTTAGGTAAATTGTTCCAGTCAGAGCCAGTCAGAAAACAGGGGAGTGGGGGGAAGGTGCCAAGGTGTCCACAGAACACTTTGATGAAACTGGAAAAAAAAATCGTTTTTGTGTAAATTTGTCTTGGAAAGTTTTGATTTTTCAGTGAAAATTCAATACTGAAATATTTTGGCTGTACACCTAAATTTGTAAATCCAGAAATGCTGCCATGGTGCCTCGTAGGAGTTGTAGTTCAGGGTGCTTTGTGCTTCCATTTCCTTGTATAGGCTGGGCTCCTTGGTCAGACTACATCTCCCATGATGTGCAATGGTATCTCTTCATGGGGTACTAGTGTTGAAACCTTATGGACATCTACCAGTGATTCATCCAACCCCTGTTGTCCAGTCCCAGCTTCTGGCAGTCTTCCAATGCCCTAATTATTGCACTTGCAGAATACTGTGCAACAGCATGGGCTCCATTCCTCACTGTGGAAAGCTAGACTCAACAATCAGCTCTGCCCTTCATACCATTACTGGTGCAACCCAGACAGCTCCAGTTTCCAACCTTGTGGTCCTGGCTGGCATTGCTCCCCCAGAGATTAGGTATGAAGGCACGGCCTTGGCTGCATTACTGTGTGCAGCCAACTATCAGGACAGCTTACTTCACAACTTCATCTCAAAGCCACGTCAGACATGCTGACTAAAGAAGCAGCTCCTTTTCTGAAATAGTCGAGCCTCTCAGACAATACATCAGACACAACCTTTCTAAGGAACACTGGCAACAGGTGGTATGGGACTATATATCGATGGCACATTTCTGGGCAGATAGAAAACTCAGATTGTTGTCCCCTAGTCTCTCCGGATCGGATCTTGCATGCACCTAAGAACAACCATATGAAATGAAAGATTACAACAGGATACATTGTGGCCCTGGGTGGTTTAACTTACATCTTTACTGTTTTGCTTCTTGAGCTCCCTGTCCTGCCCCCGTGGTGCTCAAGAACACATAGTATGCCATCTTGTTATGGGCTGCCCTCTTTCTCATCTTGATGGTGGGTGGATGTGCTTGACAACTCCAGATGCTGCTGCTGTGATAGTGGCTATATCATTTACCCAATATCTAATTCATTATTTGTGCCATCAGATGCCATATGGCATAAGAAGTCTTTCCACTTGGAGAGAGGACGTGGTGCATTGTGGGAGATATAATCTGGCCAGGGAGCCCATTTCATAAAGGGGAATGGGGACATGAGACAACCATTATTATTGTTTTAATATCTTTGTGATATAAAATCTCAGATTTGGTTTTTTTCACATGCTTTTTAATGTCAGCCACTTCTCCTTTTTGGGAGGGGAACTGTTCAAGGTTGGAGTGGGAGGGGGTTTAAGCTCCCCAATCATCAACTTTCCCACTCATGTTTGAAAATATTGTTTCCCTCTTTATGTCCATTGGTGGATTCTCCATCTCTTGATGTCTTCAAATCAGTATTAGATGACTTTC